CCGTCACGGCCGACTCTTCATCATCATCCATCATCGCAGTAACCACACGGAGTCGGCGGCGACTCAGGACCGACTCCATCAGCGAAGTGTAATTACGCACACAATTATCCTGCACCGTCGACACATTCTGAAGTGGCCTATAGAAATAATACACCGGTTAAATATTCATGAGGCGGCGATTAGGTGTAAGGAAGTGATGGAGTCTGACCGGCCCACCAAACAAAAGTCGGTACCAGAAAAAAAAAGAGTGAGCAGAGATGGTTTAGAACAGGTGTGGGCACGGCTAACGGTAATGGAGCTTTTTGTGAGCTAAGATAAACAACGTAAAAATGTCAAACTGAACTCCTGTTTAGTTGAACACAACGCTGCTGTACTCGCAGGAATTGAAGAAAGATCCACGTGACGATCTCATAGCCGTCAGCTGCCAACAAAAACTTAAGAGAATCTTATCGACTGAAAGACCAGCAGCTACCAGCAGGGTGCTGTAAGGCAAGAGCATTAACCACCCTGCCACCGTGTGGCGCCAGTGTTTCAGTCCAGTTTGATGGAGGATTTTTAACCAATTAAGACTAAAGTTGATGAGTGACTGAACCGACAGTGTCACAGGGGTCTCCTCTGGGTCCACGCCCCCTCTGTGAGCAGCATCAGCGCAGTCTGCAGCCACAGAGGCTCCGATTATATTTGGATGTGAGGTCACTTCCTGACCTCCGTCCCTGTGGAGCTGCACTGTTTTCATTTTTTGGTGATTGTAGTAAAAAAAAAAAAAAAAAATGTTTCTTTGAAAACTGCAGCACAGAAACACAGTCCTCATTAAAAAAGGACTGGAAGTGTCGTGGAAAACTGCTCATGCTTCTCCTCCAAGTTTCTTCTCGTAGTAAAAAATCTCTTCCTCCCTCCCTCCTCCCTTCCTTCCTTCCTTCCGTCCTTCCTTCCTTCCTTCCTTCCAGCCATCCACCTCAAACCTCGTTTCGCTTGCTTCTCGTTTTTCTCTCGTTTTTTTCTCTCGTTTTTCCTTCTTTGCCTTATTACTTCATAACTCCTCTTTTTTTATCTTCAACTTGCTCCGACTCTCATCCACGTCTCCTCCTTTTATCATCATCATCATCATCATCATCTCCCCCTCCTCGTCCTCCCCCTCCTCGTCCTCTATTTCCATCTCTTCCCACGTTCCGTCTTCTCGTCGTGAATCCACAAATATTGATAAATCTGCGTCGAGGTTCGGCTCATGTTTCGAATCAAAGCATCGACACTTAGTTTCCATTATGAAAAAAAAAAAGAAGAAAAAGTTCTCCCACGGCGACGGCGACTTTGTGAAGCTCTAGTTTCTTCTGCCCGAGACAACTGGCTGCTTTGTGGAGTGAACCACCGCCGTCCACCGGCTCCTTGTGTGGTCCGCGACCCAGATGTTGTATTTTTTTATAAACATAAACCGCAATTTATGTCATTTTCATTTTCGTCTTGTTGACGTTTTGTGTAAAACAGCGCCCCCAAATTGTGTGTGGTGAAACATGGTACTGCACGCTGTTGTCTGTGAGGACACAGTAATGAGCCAGTGGCAGCTGACGCATGATTGACATGGAGTTCCTGTGATATTTACTATCTCTGTGTGTGTGTTTTCCTGCTGTACTTGTGGGGACGATGGACAAACGCTGTTGTTTTGGGGACATTTTGCAGGTTCACACAGAGTGAGAGTGTGTTGTGAGGTTCAACATTTAGTCTGGAGTTAGGATTAGAGTAAAGGTAAGGAGATCAGTCAGGGGAAGGGGTTGGGAAAGACGTTCTGTCTGTAAAACGAAGGTCAAATCAATGTCCAGAGAGAAAATTAAAAACCACGACATGAATCAGTGAAAAACTACAGCGTCGTCAATAAAACACTGAGCCTCAGACGTCAGATCTGCTTCGTCTTCTTTACTTTTTTTTTTTCTTTATCCCGTTTCTTGGCAGCAGCCAAATGTTTGGATCACAACCGGTTTTCTTGACCTTTGTATCGACCTTTTTCCCGTCCTTGGTTCCTTCCTCGATGATGACAGAATGAAGTCCGATCTTTGACCACATCCTCGCCGAGGGTCTTGGAGACCTGGACTTGTTTGGTCTGGGTTTCTGTTGGACCGTCACCGTTTGACCTGGTCTCGTTTGTACTTCTGTCTTCAGAGGTTTGGCCTCGTAGCTCTCACTTTGGACTTTCTCTTTGGTTTTCTTTCTCTGCTTTTCCTTTTAAGATCCAGGATTGTTTTTTGTTTTGTTTTTTTTTTTTGTCCCGGTGATGTTTGTCCAACCGTCTCGTCTCGATTCCTCTGACGTTCTGTGTCGTTTCAGAGATTTTAACACCAACATTTTTACTTCTTACTAAGTACGACGTCACCAAAACCAGGAATTGTATTGCAATTGTTAACAACAAAATGAATATTAGGTGTGCTGTCAAATTGCCTCAAACTGCAAAAACACCTTTGACAGTCTATAGATGTTTCATAGGGACATTCACTGTTTGTACTGGCTAATTGAATGTTTTTGGTGTGAAGAGCTTAACCCTCGTGTTGTCCTTTGGGTCTAAGTAACCTGCTGGCTGATAGTGTGTGCGTGCACTCCTGCACTGCACAGCTTGTGCCAACTTTTCCCAATACTCCGATTCTGGGACAACATGCAAACCTGTTGCGAGGACTCTGGTTGTGTACAACATGCAAAGGATAATGGGAGCGTTTCCACTGTATCTCTACTAAATATTATTATTATTATTATAATATTTTATCACGATGCTATTATTATTACTAATAATAAAATTTAAGGGGGTCTGAATACTTTCCAAATCCACTGTATCTCTACTAAATATTATTGTTATTATTATTATATTTGA